AAAACCAGACAATGGACACGTTCCTGGATTGCTCGAAGAGGACAGTATGGGCTGTCAGTCCTCCAAAGAGAACTTGAGGTAAAATATTGTTTTCTTATATGTTTTTACTTTTAGTTTTAACCATCGTCTCTCTTTCGTTTCAGCATTTTTGAAAGTTGTGTACGGAAAAGCTTATGCTCCTATTGGTCAACCTCATACATGTGACGGAACCGTTGTGGACGACCGTTAAAAAAATTAAACACGGTAGTCTTTTTGTTGTGATGTCGTGAAGCATCGCATATGCGACGTAGGTTGTCGCCCACTATGACACACTAAACGAGATGATACGATCGAATCTTGCTTTCCGACGCCCGTTGTCGTTTACGAATCCCCACGACACCCTACGTCAAACTGATTGGGCCAAAATCGGGCTAAAATCAGGCATAATAAGACAAAAAAACACCCAAAAAACTACTACAATGACTGACAGGATGAAACAGAAAAAACAGCAAATCATTCATAAAAAATGCCTCCCTTTATGAGTTCCCATGTACTGTTGTAACGTGTGGGACGGGGGCAGGGTTTAAAGCATGACAGATTGCAGATTGAGGAAGGAGCGCACGCTGGACTGAACAAAGAGTGCAGATGTTCCTCATTGCAGCTCATCTGCATTCTAATAAATGAACAGGAATGCAATCAGCTGCCATAGTTCTCCCTCTCTGCCTATAGCCAACATACACTTACTCATCCACACACACCACAAACACACACTCCAACCACAGTCTGTGTGCGCTTAGTGCACGCAATGGGCTCTATGCACGGCGGTATTTCCGGTGAAGCATTAGGGATGCTCGATAACTTCCGCCGATCATAGAGTCCAATGCAATACCGAGAATTTATATTGAATTTTATACTCCATGGTTATACTAATGAAACGTTAGTCACAAAAACAGATAAAACAGACACCCCTCGTTGTGTTTATGCTTCTTTTTAAAATTATATTAAATAAACATAACTATATATAAAATTACATCTAAACGTATGTACGTTTCGTTTCAAAGACGGGAGGACAGTTAATATTGAAGACTCTGCCATAATCCCGTTTTCTCCGGTTTTCCTCCGCTTTAATCTACACAACCGGAAATGGACGAGCATCCTTACGTCAAATGCGGAACTTATGCGTGCATATAGCCCATCACAGATAATTACAGCACCTGGCCTCTCCCTTTCTCTTGTGCTCTCCTGCTAACCATTCACTGCTCGTTTGGACTTCTTTTGCCTCAATTGAGTTGTAGCTCAGAGGAGAGGTATAAATATCAGTGTATGAGAATTTATGACGCTAAAGGCGGGCATACACTGTGTATGTCTGTGCGATTTCAGCAAGGTAACTACTCGCACTCAACGAGTAAATCGCATGCGATGCAAAGCCAAAGTTCAGGATTTATGTGCTCACACTGTACGGTCCGATTGTCGAGCTGCGACTTCACTGCTCACACTATACGTGTAATGTCTGCGATAACCCCCTGGATTGCGCCTATATACGTGTGTGTATCCAGAGATATTGTCAAAACAAGCATCTGCTATCAATATCAAGATGATTTAGCATTTTCAATTTATGCATTTAATTATTTTTTGTATTATTGAATTGCCATTATTAGGGAGGCCTATAGGCTAATTTTATTATTAAATTGATCCGCTATTATAATTAATTTGCCACGCAATATTTTCACAGCACATAATCAACGTGCTGTGAGGATAATAAAATATTACATAATCTTACTCCTCATTAAAAATTGTCTAAAACATTTAGGTCGATTACAATGAATTATAGGCAAATAACTATTTACAGTCTATAATATGTCCGAACATTGCCATAATTAATCATCAATGAAAATTAAAAACAGCTTTATTTCAAAAACATTGTTTGACAAATTAAGGTGTTGCATCGCAGGTGGCTTGGAAGACGTGGGTAATTTTATCCATTTTGCAACACGAACTGGAGGTAAGCAGCAGTAATTTGTAGCTAGTTTGAACTACAGAACTTAAAGATCTCTCTCTTTTCATTTTTATTTTAATTTTATTTTTGCTGCAGATGAAATGGTTAAACTTCTGTTTTCGCGCAGGCGCAGTGAGGGAAAAAAACACTGAGTTTAGGGCAATCGGTTCGTAGCTCGACATACCAGAAATTCCAGCCCGTTCTCATCCTTTAGCGTCACATAGAACGCTATATGACAAAACGGCGCTATACTACGCACATGGCACCCTTTATCGTTAGGCCGTGTGTCCACCAAAGCATTTTTCCACGTGCCTGTTTTCAATTGTTTTCAATGGGAGCGCCGCGTTTTTAAAACGCCATGAGCGTACCGAGCCGAGTGTTTTTTTCACGCTGAAGTGCCGAGCGCCCTGCGTTTTTACTGGTCGCTGGGAGTTGAAAAATGTTAAACTTTGGATAAAACGCAGCGCTCATCACTGTCACTTTTTACCCAGCCGTCCAATCACAGTGGAGGAGGGGGGGGGACTAATACCACACCGACCAACTGTCACAACATTCAACTGCTGCGGATATTCTGTATCATAGCAACGGAACGTCTCAACGGAAAAAACGCTGCGCTGCCAAACGCTCTCAAGTGCCCAAAGCACGACGTCTTCAGCAGAGCGTCTAGCGTTTTCAGCTGGCTAAAAACGCTTTGGTGGACACACGGCCTTAATATTCACACGAACCCAAGGCGTCATAAATCCTTTAGTGTAATATGAGTCTACCCTACCCTACCCCACACCTAAACCTAACCATCACAGCGTGTGTTATATTAATAGCCGGTGCCATAGCGCCGTTTTGTCATATAGCGTTCTATATGGCGCTAGAGGATGAGAATGCGTTGGAAATTCATCCGACCACCACTCGTTTCTCCCTGTACACTGCACGAACACTGCACGACAAACGACAAAGCTGAAAATCGGTCCGACACGAAAAAGAGTCGCATGAGTCAGAATTCGGCTCAAAATCGGACGTAAATCGCACAGTGTATGCCCGCCTTAAGGAAAACGGGTGTTTTACACATGGCAAAAGATAAAAAAGGCTCTAGATACTGGGATGCAAATGTAGAACGTGTGAAAAGGCTTCTTCAACGCATCACACGGATATGATAAGGCTTGAATTCTTTTCATATTCTGCTTCAGATTTATTTGAAAACACACATAGCCTTGATGACTTGGCATCTTCGAACAGAACTAGATTGTTTATTTACTTCTCTGAGGACAAAATAACAGGGCTTCCCCCGGCAATATGTAAATTGCTGAGTAAAGGTAATTGCATTAGGACACAGCTTACATACTCACAATCCCTCTAGAGAACAAAAAATGAAGCAAGTTGGTATAATGTGTGCCTTGCGTCTCAATGGACAGTGGTGGATCAGGTGAGTCTCAGGAGCTTTCTAGTCTTTCATCAGTACTCCCATCAAAAATTGTTCCAATGTTTTGATAATGTTACGCATATGAATATAAAATGACTTCACCTGCAGCACAGAGTAGTTCACAGACTGCAAATGAAATAAAGAATCTGTGACAAACTGACAGACATTTGAAATTATTACAATAGATTATAATACTCCAGCACACTTTTTGTTTTCTGACTTATCGTTACATTGTGTGAAATGAATCAATGGTTGAGTAAACTGTCCGATTTAATCAAACTAAATCGTGAACAATTTTAGACATTTTCATTTGTGAATCTGGTATTTAGTTCTGATTCTAAACAGCCGATGGAAAACTAACATGAAATAATTATCAGGGAAATGATTTTCAGGTCGGTATACATTAATCTCCACAATCAGGCATAGATTGTTCTATAATGTTTTACATGGACATATTTTTACTGGGGCCAATTGCCCCAGTAAAAAGGGTCTAGCAATGCCCCTTATTAATACAAAGGAGAACTTCTATATTTTGGGCTGCAGAATGGCAGTCACTAGGATCTTTGAGTTTAAAGTCATTTGCAGCCAAATGTCTGAAGAAAAACGCATCTTATAACAATTAGAGCACATGGACATATGGATGGACTAGTGCATTTTAATGCAGCATAGTTTTCACAGTTTGAACATGGTTGCATTTAAGAAGTGCTGAGGATATAAAGAGCTAATATATTATTTAGCAGGGATGAGCCTTTTATACTGTACAGTTGCATCTCAATCAGATTGCAAATTAAATGTTAAACGGTCTTTAACCTCTAGGCTAAATTATCAATTAAACATTTAATAATATTATTTCACAAAATTACTGTTTTCACTTTATTGTTGATCAAATAAATGCATCCTTGGTGAGCATAAGGGACTTCTCTCAAACACATGAAAAAAATCTTAACAACGCCAAACTTTTAAACGGCAGTGTAGCTTCCAATTTACAGCAACAGACACAAACCTGGGGATGGTAGAGGAGTGCAGGAGCATGAAGTCATGAGATTACAGACTCATAAAAGCAGCTTTATTATGGAGGAGAGTCTATTTGTATAAAACATAACATTTATATTGTATATAAACATAAATTCCACCTCTTTCTCACACACACACAAGTGGCTATTTGATTTGAAAGGGGCACAAGCATCTTGGGAGCACTTTGTCAATGCAGTAAACTACCAAGAGTGCCTCTCTCTTCAGAGCCAGACATTCTAGCTTACAGCAGTCTTATTAAACAGCACATCTACAGGAAAGAGAGAAACAGAGCGCGCTAATAAGCGAGAGGAGGGGAGATTTAGAGACTCTGGGTCAGATTCATCCTTGTTTTAATCTGACACTGATAGAATGATCCTCACATGCTGTTACACTGAGGAAGCTAATCTCTGCGCTTGAGCTAGAGGAGGATCTCTCCTTCTTCTTTAATTAAAACACAGCAGGCAGGATTAAATGGCATCATGGCTGCTTTTCATGGCACACATTTGGCTCTGGAAATGTCTCTCCAAATGTCAACACCCGGAAGCTCTACTGCCGCTACGGTGGCCAGGCAGTGAAAACGCCATATCCCATACTCACCGATCACTTTCACGAAATACGCGTCGGCCTCATAGTTGTTCTTCAAAGCGTGGATTACGAGGTCTTCCTTTTCCCCCTTGCTGAGCACGATCATATCTAATATACCCTGCAAATGAGAAATCAGAAACAATGTATCAAGCCCATTGAATCTCGCCCGTCTGATGAACACTCATATCCTTAATGGACTCCAGCAAGCTATTACGCTTCTTATCAGCCCCTCTCTGCAGTCTATTGGTCTCGCTCTTAAGAAAATGGTTGCGCAGGGGCTTCTGTACAGATAGCATCGTAATACTGTGCTAATGATGACTAGCTCGAATGCTAACGGAATGAGACGTGCGCGTGCTGTTTGTTTAATGAGCCTTTAGCTTCATTAGTTATGCAAGCATGAGGGGATTCCAGGTAATTGGCTATATTATAATAACGATGGGGAAAAGGTTGCGATACAGATGGAGAGAAGGGTCGAGGGAGGGAAGGAGTCAATCGTGGAGGATGGCAAAATTAGACACGTGTATACTGTAGATGCTTGAGGGCCGTCTGCAGCAGAGAGATGTTTCACTTCTTTAGGTGACCAAAGAACCACAGACTCTCATACAGGCAAACACACAAGATTTATAGCAGACAAACACGAGGAAGCCAGAAAAAATGACAATGTCACAATGCATATAATGGTTGATTTAAAAAAAAAAAAAACGATAATTTTCTATATGCAAAATAATCTTTGATTCTTTTTACATGGGTTGAAATTATGGGTGAGCGATATGGCAAAAATGTTGTTGTTTTTTCAGGAAAATAATGATTCGTGATTTTATCACGATTCTTTTTCATGTTGCTTTTACTATTTTGCAAGTGACTGAGCATTACAGCTAAACTAATGTCCCTATTTTAAAAAAAGCCTTACAAGATAACAAAATATAAAATAAAAATAACAGCAGACAATATAAAAATCTTTATGTCATTATATTATCTTTGTTATTAAGAACAAAGAAACACATTACATATACACAACATAATATACAAATGAAATAAATAGTCATCCTTTATTTTTTTTCAGCTAAAGTAGGTGCATTTAATAGTAGCATTCAAACAGTTGCTGGTCCCCAGTGACTTCCATAGTATGCATTTATGTATATAAGTCAATGGGGACCAGCAACTGTTCACAACATCGTATTTTGAGTTCAGCACAAGAAAGAAATGAATCAGAAATTATTATTTTTGTAATAACTATCCCTTTAAAGACAAGCGGCAGCATGTTTACTGTTAGGCTGCTGTCAGTTTAAGATCTGCAGGCATCTAATATACAGACACGCATCCGATTTTCACTTAGACATTTAGACATAACCAACTGTGTTTATTTAAACCTTCTGTGTATTTGACAGTATTAGCGCAATACGACTCGAAAGAAAACTTAGTGACCAAGCGCTGTTTGACAGGCTTTTAGTGAGCGAGATGCATTTAGAAAAGTACATGTTAGAACAGCGTATCAGCACAGCATGTTTAACTGGCAAGGCTTTAAAGCACATGAAAATAATAAGCTTTTGTGAATTGCAGAGTCCCGTGAGTGTAACTCTACTTTTGCGTTAACATGTGATGTGAATGTAGTCTCGTTGTTGAGACGCATGTGTCAGAACTGCAAATGATAGAATGCACTGTAGCATGGTACTACGATATTTCTTCAAAAGTAGATCGTGGAGAGATATTTTAATCATCCATGATCAAAAATCGTGAAATTGCACACCCCTAGATGAAATGTGATCTGGACATTTGAGATTAACCTATTACTGTATGCAGATACTAGGATTTAGTCAAGACAGACAATAGTCAGACGCATTCATGCGTGTTTCTTGTGTAAAATGAACAATCCAATTCAATCACTCTGATCAAAGGACACTTAGAATCAATATAACAATATGTAACAAGCCTTAAACATCAGTGAGATACACACAGATCAAGGGAGGAGAGATAGAGCTCTCGAAGGGAAGCTATACGTTTGGACTACTAAGAGCAGAAAATAAGTGGTGAAGTGCTTCAAACTGAAACAAAAATAGTGCGAGGAATGAAAAAAAAAAAGAGAGGAAGCAAGGATTCATTTTATTTCAGCTTTATAGCAATTAATGAAAACTATTTTTAATAGCTTTAGTTAACAACAGGTTCAAAGAAGACTTTAGGCTACAGAGAATGCACAGGGTGTTAACGCATCAGAGACAGGGGTTTGTTGGAAATGTAGAGGGTGTAGTTCTCTACTCTCAATGTCAAAAGAGGCGAGAGCCTGCGCCACACCACTGGGGCAACATTACAGTCAGAGTAAATCAGATAATAACTAAATCTCGGTATAATGCGGGTCACAGAGACATCAACGAGATGAAGAAAGAGTGATCGGGGACAGAGAAAGGGAGGGAGATTAAAGCAGCGGCCGCGTTTTAATTAAAGTGCCAAAAGCAAAGAGGAAAAGGCCAACACTTACGTCCTCATAGATGTCAAAAAAAGTGGCCACAACAGCCCTGGGGATGGCACTGAGGTCTGACTGTTCCCAACGCACACTGAACATGCGGCCCACCTCCCGACAGCTCGCGTTATTACATGCCACGTTCTCCAGCAGGAATGCCTGCTGCTGCTTGCTGTGGAGAGAGAAAGAACAGGAGAAATTTCTGTTAATGTGAGTAGGTCTGAGGAACACAATGCTAAAATGTATGCAAAGACACTGTCATGTTGAATTCAACCCTTGCTAATTAAGTTTGCAAGCACATAGCAAATAAGTGAACTCTGACCAATTAAAGAGCATGTCTGGGCACTGAACACTACTTAAATTAGAATATCATCACACACACACACACACACTGTGGAGAAGCAGAGGGCTTGATGAGTGAGTGAGACTGGAAAAATGCTTGAAAATTGCGAATTAAGCAGAACCTATTCCTTCCCATAATTCAGTGCTGAGTGTGGGGGAGCTGGATCTGGGAGACAGCAGTGAATTTTGAATCACTCAACAATAACCCATCTGCCAGGCCTCTGCTTTACTCAGGACCCTTTTCCACACATTTATTTCACAGCGTTTTTCCCCCATAGTCTGAAAGTTACTAGTGACACTTCTCAGAACTACTCTAATTTCAACCTGGGCATGCAAGATGCTAAAAATACAAAGTGTATAAAGGTTTTCTTCTCTTTCTTCCTTCTGTTGTTTCTTCTTGGTTTCAGGAGAAGGAAATACAGATGAGAAGTGCACAAAACATACATTTGAAGTGTGTTAACTGCTGCCAACTTATCACAAAGCACATACTCCAGTTGAGCTGCGAAAAAAAGATTGAGCAGCATAAACAATGTTCCAGCTTCGAAACAAGTTGAGCTCTATCGACATACTTCTGATTACCACAGACAGAAATCCATTTAATGAAAACAAACAAATATTTTGTTTAAACTAATTTTCAAACAGTTGTACTGCTTAAAGGTACTGTATTGTGATTTCACGTTTTTCATTTTAAATAGTGTGTAATGTTGCTGTTGTATTACTCTGTTCAATACACACGACTCACAGATGTTCTAACTACAACTACATATAATGTGATTATTTATTTAAACTCATATTTAAGTTGGACCATGGAAATTAATTTCCCAGGTTAGCTGCCCGGGATGGTTTGGCAGGCGATGAGTCTTCCAGTGTGGATTGTCTTGGTCAGTCTGGAGCTTGGTGCACTAATCTGTGCATTTCACTGCCAAAGCCCCTGTACACCTTTGCTGGCCACCCATCAGTGGAGGCTGATTTGGTGGGGGGGATGGATGGCACAGGACTTTTGCCATAGTCAACTAGCCAAGCAGACAAACTTTGTCCCCTGACAGGATTAAATGACACCACACTTACTGCTGCACGGAGAACAGATGCTTTACTGAAGCTTTCACAGGTTTAACTGGCGGCCACACACAGAAGGAAAGTTTTTGTCCTTGTATTTGGCTCTACAACTGTCATTGCTGCCAATTTAAAGACTAGAAGTTAAAATACACCAGTGCATTTGGAAAGCATCTGTCCTCAAAGCACAAAGACAGTGGAAAAGTAGGTGCCAGAATTTGTGTGTGTGAACCAGAGTAGTATTTTAGGTTTGTGCGTGTGAGTACAGAATGTGTCATTATGAGTGTGTGTCTGGTCCCAACTTCCTATCGTTTCACTCCCTCAGTGGAGCACAGTTGTGACCGGTGGCTCGCTGTGCCATCTGCACACCCATGAGCACACACACGTTCCTCGCTTAATTGGGAGCTTCGGACTCAACACCATGACGAACCCAGCATGGAAGAGCAGGCCAGAGGCAAGCCTACAGGCTGACCTCTCCCTCCGCCTCTTTCAAACTCCCTCAGTTTATTCTCTCTTTCTAAAGCAAAAGAAGGATTTTACTGTGCTGTTTCCTGACCACTGTGGAGGCCTTGCATCAAAACGTGAGTTTTTTAAGACATCAGTTATCCAGAAGTCAAATAGGCTGCGAGAGAGAGAGAAAGAAAGGCATGTTGAGAGGGACGGCAGGCGGCAGGTCTGCTGATTCTCTGAGGGCTACGATGACAAAAGCAGAGAGATCTCGTCCCCCCAGGCATCTCTTCAATACCGGTCCACCCACTCTTCCTGAGGCTTTTCTCTCGCTCTGTCTGTTGCAGTATGTGTTGGTCTACTACTTTTTCAATTTGCTCTTAAGGGCAAAAACAAAGCAGTCTGAAGGGTGGATGGCATTTCAATCATTCCCTACTTCTGAAGGAGTCTTGGCTATATTGCGTGTGAGGATGTTGGAGGTGGGGATTTATAGCCTTTTCTCACAGCACTTGATATAATTAAACATAAATTTGATGGCGGATTCAGAAAGGTTCAAACGACAATCACCAGTGAAAACTGGAGATTCACCCGTTGTAAAATGCTAAAGACTTCATTCGGAATTCGGAGTGGCGGAGTGAGTGCAACTAGCCCATGCAAAAACAACGATACATGTCGGAAGGGCATTACACGCAGTCATGGAATGCTGACGTTAACAATTTGAGAACAAAGTATAATTTGCACAGTCTGACGTGATATGATCGTTAAATATAATCAGCGCGATTTACTGCAATGCTTTTACCCCTTAGTTGGTCAGAACAAAAATGTATGTTTCTTACTTATTCAGATGACATATTCTGGTGAAAATTCTTATGTTGGTCATACTTCCTAAAATAATAATCTGTGATTCTGAATGCAAGTATCCACACCCTTGCACCTTCTCTCCAAAACATTGGATTCATCCGTGCCGTGCCAAGGGTGTCGAAGTACAACCCATGTAAAGTGGTAATTCCGCAAATGACTGCAATTGCAGATTTCGACCAGAGATGGCGACAAAGAGGAAAAACTACGGACTGCAGCTTTAACTTCAAAGGTAGAAAACAGGATACAGAAATACAATTAAAATGATAATCTAAGGAAATGTAATAAAAATTGATGGCCATTTGAACATTTTTCAAATTTTAAATTTGACTTTTTTTTTTTACTATAAAAGCAAATGTTGATTTGCCAAAAGTTTGTTTGAAAGTTTTGAAAAAAATTACAATGCCTTTAAGAATACAGAATACAATGAGAGAATACAAAATGATAGGTAGACAGAGTGACAGAACCATACTGAACGATAGAATGATAGACAGAACAACAGTTAGGAAGACAACGCTAATTAACGAAAACAAAACTTTTTGAAAACGCTCACCAAAGTGAAAAAAAAAATTGAAAACAATGTTTTACAAGTTGTAGTGTGAACTATGAAAACGGAAGTATTTGAAAATGATGATGCAGGTTTAGTGCATATTATACTATTTATATAGAGAAATGCCACTTCCTCAATCCTTAAAACAACTATATAGGGAAACCCGTAACACCAAAGATGGCGGTCGTATGCACATGCCCCGCCCCTCCCGCTGGAGAGCCAATCATCTGCTTTTAACAGTCAAGCCGGGAAACATTTTAGCCTATCGTCTGGTTCCACTGACACATTTGAGGTTTGCGACAGCGGAAAATTTGATATAGTTGTGTAAGTCTCCCGCAGATTGATAGCGGCTCCCTGATGACCGCAAATTAGTTTAAATCTCCCAAAATCTAGAGGGAGCGAGCAGTAGCGCGCGACAGAGCGCAAGAGAACCCTTGCGCATGCGCTGTTTCTATACAAGCAGTTCTTTATGTCCCGGTCACCAGTGGAAGTGCAGTTCTGAGTCTCTGCCCATTCATTTAGATAGGAGCCTGGTCTTGTTAGTCCGAAATAGCTGCCCAGACAGAGGCGTTGCAAAGATGGCAGCCAAGTGGCATGACTTGCCTAAAAGGACTTATACAGACAGTCAGAATGAATGAATGATAGAATGATAGATAGACAGACAGACAGAAAGACATGTAGATAGATAGATAGATAGATAGATAGCACTCAACAGTTTGAGTGAAAGAGAGATCCAGAAAGCAAACAGCAGCTAGTACAACTGACATTCTAATGCTTCAGCATGCATTGCTGGGCTAATCAGCTCCGACATGAACCCATTCTTGCTACAACCTCTCCCTGGACTCAGAGTACTTCATGCAGACTGCATGAACGAACAGAAACATCATTACCAGAGTACGGCAAGTGGATCAGTTTATAAGAGTGCCATTTAATGCAGAGAGCAACATAACGAGAAAGCATGTCTTAGATTTCTAGAGGCCTTTCAAATGAATCCCTTCTATCTAAAGTGAAGGAAATAAATATTTGCCTAAATGTTTGACAGGCCTTTAAACTTTAATCACGGCCTCATTTCCAGATGCCATTAAAAGAAAATGGAAATACAGTCCACTACGATGGATCTGATGCTGTCAGGAGTGAAAAATATTGACACTTATTGACATTTACTGTATCTTCTATCCTTGCAAAATGAAGAAGACTTTTTACTCTTAGTGAAACTGCCACTAATCCTGACTGACAACGAGACAAGTATTTCAAAACACATGCTCATGAGATGGATGGCCATTGCCTAGCAACAGAGCCCCGTGCAGCTGCAGTAGCTATAGATTTGAGCTTGAGCCCGAGCTCAGCCAGGGCAAATAATTCAATAATACAAATACCATATATACATGGTAAAAGAAATCACTGCCTATGAGAGAAAAAAAAAAACATTCAGTTCTCATTGCAGGCGTGAGCTGCACTCGGTATAAACAATGAACAGCCTAACCTCAGTAAAAACATACACCCATTTGCCTCAAACTGCAGAGGCTAATAGCGAATGCAATCACGTCCAAGTGTGTGTGTGTTTGTGTCCAGGTCTTCCCCCGTGCTCCTCATGGGAGTCTTTTGTCTCGTCCCTCATTAAACCCAAGCACTTCTATTAAGAGGTAATCCTGCCATCATAAAGAAGTGTGCGACTGATGGAATTCAATTATACATGCATTAGCTCAGCATAATGCATCTCTGTGATCTCACTCCTCCCATCTAGCACAGCTTTCAACACTCCTGGAGGAGATCCATGGCTGATCACGCTATCCTTTTCTCTTTCTCTGGCCCCCTCTAAGCATTGTACAGGTATACTTCACCCCAGCAGGTGGTTTCAAGAGGCAATACTGCTCACTGAGCTGTGCAAGGGTTTCCTGTTGCTAAAGACATGTGTTTTTCAG